CGTTGGAAGTATTTTCCCTATATATATAGAGACCTCTAGTTCACTTCTAACTCTTGCAATCAAGTTTTTCTTGCAATCTATACTCTCTTTGCCTCATTATTCCCTCACTTGTCTCCAAATCTTCTTCATACTTCATCTATTCTTTCAAATGGCCTCATCCTCTCGCCCTAAGATTCCTACAAGAAGAAGATCTGCACCTTCTTCTCATTCCCGTCCTAATTCCGTTGAAGGATGGATTTACGATACGGAAGGTCAACGAGAATTTCGATGTACTGGAAGGAACGTGCCGTCATTTCTCCTAAATTCCTAATTGGTGAGCAATTCATTCATAGAGGATTTAACTTTCCTAATCTTCTTGAATTTCAAGGAGTTCTCCCATTTATCCAAATGCAAGGTACATACTATCCTGACTTAGTTAGGGTATTCTATTCTAGATTTAAGTTTAGGGATCAAATTGCTACATCCCGTGTAAAAGGGGTTACCATAATTCTAGATGATGATATTTGGGAAAACGTTGCCCACTTCCCCATTAGAGAAGATGCTATTAACGTTTATGGTGAGCTAGATGACTTTGATAGGTTCTTAGCTTATCGATCTTTTCTCGGAATCCCTCTATGGAGATTGGGCGTATTCTTCATGATGGACCTTTGAAGAAGGAAGAACGCATGATTCTTCATTTGCTTGTCCGGATTTTATGTCCCCGGGCCACAAATCATGCCCAATGCTCTTCTATTGATCTTCGCATTATTCATGCCATAATGAATAATGAACCTTTAGATTGGGGTGTTCTTGTCACAATGACAATGTTAAAGGCCAAACGTCATCCAACATTCAAAATTCCATATGCTCTTCTTGTATCCCGAATTCTTGAATATAAAGGAGTCAATGTCGAAGGTGAACAAGTTGTCCGAACTAATAACTTGAACCGCATGCTAGACAGCACATTGATTCATCTCCAAATGGTGCGGGTAAATGACATCTATGTTCACAAAGATGACGTCCAAAATCAAGGTGATGCAATTGAAGACTCTGATGAAGATATGCTTCCAGCAGCTGAGTTTCCCTCTACCCAAATCCAAAGTGTTGGAACATCCTCTTCGCATCAAGAAACAAGACAATCCATGGAAGATATGTTATCTGACATGAATCAAAGGATGCAATCGTTCTTCACTCTTTCTGGTGTACGGCATGAGGAGTTAATTCGCCGTATATCGGATGTAGATGATAAAGTGTGTCGTTTAGAGAATAGATTTAATGCACACTTTAATGATCATGATAGTGAAGAATTTTAAATTCTGTTATGTATTTTCTTTTGTTATTGTCTTGAGGTTGTAATGGATGAATGATTATGAAATAAAATATGATGCTTCTTTCATGCTATGATTAAGGGGGAGCTTTCTCTAAATTATGCATATTTTGAGGGGGAGATCTAATGTTTGTTCTTTCAGAGTTCTTTTTGATTTTAATCAAAATAGGGGGAGAAAAATTTAAAGCCTATATTCAATTTTAAATTTTATCTGGTATGTTTAATGTGTTTGTTAGTATGACAGATAAAACAGGTTATTACAAGGGCTTTAAAAAGATAATTTTGATCATCATCAAAAAGGGGGAGATTGTTGAACATTCAAGGACTTGATGTTGCAAATAATGATCATAAAGAATGTTGATTTTGATGATGATCCAAGAGCTTAAAGACTTAGAGTATTGAAGATTGAAGATTGATGATTTCTGTATTATAATAACTCTGTTTTAGTTTGATTGAGTCTGTAATTATAGAATCTAAGATAGCTGGTACATAGTCTGTAACTTAGAAGCTTCAAAAAGCTCAAATTTATCATTCAGGCTCGGCTTTAATCGATTAAATAGGTAAATAATCGATTAAAATAGTGAGAAAACCATTTTACGTACAAACTCATCGCTTTAATCGATTAAACGACAAAATAATCGATTATTCCGATGCAGTTCCATACGGATAATCGATTATTTCACCAAATAATCGATTAAACCGGAGAGTATTGAGTTCTGACGTATTTGGCTTTGTTTTAATCGATTATTACTCCAAATAATCGATTATTCCAGTCTGTTTCTGATTTTAAACTTCAAACAAACCCTATTTTCGAAAACCCAATTACCAAGAACCCTAGTTTCGAAATCCCCAAATCCTAAACCCTAATTTCCCTACTTCAACTCTCCTTTGGCACTCAGAAAATAAGAACAACCTTTTCCATACAAAAGTTAAGTGTTGTGAGTGCCAGAGAATTGTTTGTTGCAAGGAAAGGGGGCTTTCTGAACCTGGTGTGGGCTAGAAGCGATAAGAATCACTAAGTGGAGTTCTTAGTGGATTGTGTGCTGTGCCGTCTCTGGGGAAAACTGTTCTTCATCTCTTGTGGGTTTCAAGAGAGGTGTTATCTTTATCTTCCATTGTAATTTGTATTGTAACAATTTGTTTATAGTGACAGCGTTAATCCTCTGTTGAGTGATTAGCAACTGGACGTAGGGTCTTTTGATCCGAACCAGTATAAATTTCCTGTGTAAGACTCTATCCCTTTCTCTATTTACATTTACACAGTTTTTAATCGGTAAAATTTGGGGAAAATTTTGAAAACCTAATTTTTATTAAGAAACCAATTCACCCCCCCTCTTGGTTTTTGTCCGACCACGCGAACATTCCGCTGCGTGATTCTAACAGTTGCGATCTGGACGTGGTGTATGACACATAAATGTCTTTTTCATGCCAAACTTGCTAGTCCTCCTCTAGTAAAATCCCATGCAATGGTATTGATTATTTATCCTGCTTTCGGGATGGTTTCTTGCTAAGTATGTTGGGTTGGGAGTTGGTTATTATTACATTCACCTTTTTATTGGTAGTATCCTTGCCTTGATAGCCTCCACGACCTCAAGTGTTATGTTTTTGTATGTATTGAGTTAACTTTCCTATTTATATGAGGCCTTTTATGATATCTTGCATGTTTGAGTAATCTTCTGTGTTGTGTCCATAAGTTTGGTGGTAAACACATTTTTTTGTTCTATCTACATTTGATGTCGTGAAAAACTACCGATGAATAGTCATCATCTCCAAATTGCATGTTTCTCGCAAGATGGTTTCTCGAGGTGCATTCAATAATGTGCAGTTATCATATCTAACCCTCCTCACACACTTGGTGAAATGATTCTTTTCTATCACTTTATCAAGCTATTATTCCATGTAACTCAGTATTTTCTTCTAACTAGATGTAATTTGAGGATCGTGTTTTCAACTCATCCATGTTTTTTGGCCTGTTCAGATACAAGCTTTTCATAAATGATCATTTTCAAAGATCGATCATGTTTGAAGATCAGTTTGGTATGGTAAGACTAATGACTGCAAACCTTTCCAAAACTTACGTAATTATTCCTTTTTTTCCTTGTTTGGTTTTTCAAAAGCCATTGAGTCATCTTAATGACGTTGGCTTGTGGCAAACCATGCTCTAAGTTTGCTTGTTGAATCATCAAAGCAAGCCATGGATCCCTTTGAGAGTTTGTAATACCATTGGAGCACGATGCCTTTAAGTGTAGTCGGGAAAATTCAACATTTGAAGGAGTCCTTATCCAAATATACTTCAACATGTAGGAACCGATGGGAGGAGTATGCTAATTTTGGGGAAGAAACTCATCGAGTATACCTGGCACGAATGAATGCTCATATTTTGTATGCATTTATGTCGTAACTTGGGTTGACACAATAGACTTAGACTCTTTTCAATTTCCTTTGAATCTTCAATTTCTCTATGAGCATTAGTTTTTTGTTGCTTGGAATGCTCAAAGTGAGAATGAGATTTTGTAGTGGCTGCAATTTCGTCTTCATTTAGGACTATCTTCTTTCGCTTAGTTGACTTCTTAATAATCTCATTGATTTGGTCACACAGAGCCTTTAATTCTTGTTGTTGTTGTTGTCTTCGGTCTCAATCAACTTTTTCTTGAAGGGTTGTTATGGTATCTCGTATTTATGTATTATTCTGTTGTTGTAGCTCGACCATCTGAGCCTTAAGGCTTTCGATGAGTGTGGATGACTTCGTAATGTGTGTGAAGGAATAGTCATTTTATCGTTTAATCTCTAGGTAATAGTGGTGTAGGAGAAGTTTTGCCTCGCACCCACAATGGACGCCAAGTGTTGTGACTTGGATTAAGAAATGTGTTTGAGCTATCAAGTTTATTTGAGCATATAGAGAGCGAATGGAAGAATACCTGCAAAAAGACTCTTTAATACTTAATTCAATATGTGGAATAATGAACAAGAGGATATATGGTAGGTTAAAATAAAAGAGATACTAAACTTGTTTATATAGATGTGTTAAAATTATAATTATATGAAATCTATGAGATATTTTATCTTTATTTATGAGACATATTTTAAGTATTTTAAAATGGTTTCGTATGTAACTATTAAGATATTTTGTGTAAGTGATAATTTTAATATTAAGTTTTATAGGGTTGGGTAGGTATAATTTTCACCCAATTGTAAATTTTATAAATATTTTTATTACAAATATTTTTTAAATATACAAATAATAAAGAATTATAAAATATATGGATAAATATATTAACTTATTATTATATTTATATTTTAATATAAATTTAAATAAAATAAAATGTAAATGTCATCTTATTAAAAAAAGTATTTATTTAAAAAATTAAAAAGAGTATAAGCATAGAAAAAACTAGAAAAGGTTAGTAGAGTAAACAAGAAGAAAGAAAAAGGAAAGAAAAAAAAAAAAAAAAAGAGAGAGAGAGAGAGTTGAGTTTAAGGATATAAAATTAACTAACTTCATATATAAAATTTGGTTATATTTACCTTTGTTCTAACATGATATTTTTTTTCTTATTCTTAAACACAAGTATGTTACAGAAACGATATCCAAAACATAACCTATTGTTTCGTTGAATACAAATTCATTCATTTTCATTGCAATGGTTTCATTCATTCATTGATTCTCATATCCTCTGTTCTTTCACACTCAAAAATGCTACTATCCACACTTCAAACCCCTCGCTCCCTCTCTCGCCTCTCTCTCACTCGCCACTCCCACTCCTTCACCTCACGCGCCTCCCTCACCGACCAAACCCCGACCCTCACCACCTCCCCTCCGCCGCACTCCGAAATCCTCTCAACCCGCCAAATCCTCCTCTCGCGCCGCGCCTCCGCCGCAGACCTCGCCCTCTCCCGCCTCGTGCGCCTCCGCCTCGCGGAGCCCCGTCTGCGCTCCTTCCTACATCTCCCCGACGACGACTCCCTCCTCGCCCAAGCGCGCCGCCTCGACGCCCGCATCGCCGCCGGCGATGACCCCGGCCCCCTCGCTGGTGTGCTTGTCGGTGTGAAGGACAACATCTGTACCGCGGACATGCCGTCCACGGGCGGGTCCCGCGTCCTGGAGGGGTACCGGCCGCCGTTTGACGCGACGGCGGTGAAGAGAGTGAGGGAATTGGGGGGCATTGTGGTTGGGAAAACCAATATGGATGAGTTTGGAATGGGAAGCACAACTGAAGCTTCTGCATTTCAGGTTCTCTCTCTGCTAATACACTGCATTTAGAATTTTTTACTATGATTTATACTGCAATTTAAATTTTTTGTTTAAAAGTTATTTTTTTGTTAAGTTTTGAAGTTACTCATTCTGTGCTAAGCATTTTTAGGTTTGTATGAACTTTTAAGCTCAGTGGTGCTTCCCATTCCACTGTTATTATTACTACTACTGTTATTATTGTTCAGTTATACTAGTAATAATGGTGTTTTAGTCTCTGGAAAATTTACAAAGTTTGATTTTAATCTTTAATTTTTAAAACACTGCTTTTGGGTACTTCATTTTTTGAATTATCCATATGCAGGAAATTTTTTGAATAATTAGAGTTTAATGGATGTCAAAGTCAATCCAATCACAAATTATCACCACTCATATTTATCAGTTATTGTGAAAGTTAACAAAATTACTAAATAAATGACAATGTAAAACTATTTTAAAATGTTAGTAAATATTTTTTTCTCTTTAAAAAATACATGGCCAACAATGATTAGTTTTAAAAGTTAATGACGAAAATAAAATTTTAGAAATTCTTTATATACTAAATTTTCCATAAATCCTTATTTTTATTATTACATAGGAAGTATTTTAAGTCAGAAATGAGGACAGAGAGGAGGATATCTGTACCGTTAAGGCTCTCACGGAATTTGTTCCCACGCACGCACTGTTGTTGATATTTTGAAATTGAGAGTTTATAGATTATTTTATAAAGGTGATTGAAGACCCAGAAGGTTGATGTTGAATGTGTTGGGTGGTGTAATATTAAGAGCATTGTGGGATGCTAGCTGTGTCTAAGAATGTTTCTTCTAAAATTTCAAATGCCCTGTTTGTATTATTTGTTATGAATTTGAGGATAAGTGACTTTATGACTCCGTGTGTTTTTCATTTTTGTGTATAGGAGTTAAAATGTTGATTAGCTGTTCTATATTGAAAGCAGGATTTCAGTGTTTGTGTAGAGAAAATGAGGAATGAAAACTGTCAAAGAATGACTTGGTGGTGGACCTTAAATGGAATAATGTGTTGCTAATTTTCAATCCTTCTAATGTTATTTCCCTTTTGTTATTGCAAAGTTTTGGAAAAGAAAGAGGGGTTGTGTTTTGGTCCTAGCTTTATTATTTGTATGGCCCATTTATAACTGCGATTGGTTTACTCAGGTGCTGCATATGTTCATTCAATAGGTGACTGCCAACCCATGGGACGAGTCTAGGGTGCCAGGAGGATCATCAGGAGGATCAGCAGCTGCAGTTTCTGCCAGGCAGTGTGTTGTGTCGCTGGGAAGTGACACTGGTGGAAGTGTGAGGCAGCCAGCATCATTTTGTGGTGTTGTAGGTTTGAAGCCTACGTATGGGCGTGTCTCAAGATTTGGACTTATGGCTTATGCATCATCACTTGATGCCATTGGCTGCTTTGGTTCATCAGTTGCTGATACCGGGATTCTCCTTCATGCAATTGCTGGTCATGATAGATTTGATGCCACCTCAAGTAAGCAGGTGGGAGTATGAGTTTACAAAAAGTTTGGTGTAACTGTTCTAAGCCATCCAATTTCTCATTGTTCGCAAGGGATGTTAATAATGTTTAGTAAAATCTGTTTCTCAATAAGATCAGTGATTGCTGAAATCAGTGGATTTAAGTGTTATTTCTTTCTTGTTATTAAGTCAATGACTTCTCAATAATATATAACGTCAATTTTCAGGATGTGCCTGACTATCAATCCCACTTTGTCTCTGTGAGCTCCTTGGACAGTAAGCCCTTGAAGGGACTGAGAGTTGGTCTGATCCGTGAAACTATTGACAAGGGTGTTGATACTGGAGTAATTTCTGCAATTGGGGCCGCTGCTTCGCATTTTGAGGAATTGGGTTGCTCTGTGAATGAGGTCCGTATCGTGTTTCTCTAATTACGAATGGAAACTTCTAATGGTTCTTTTTGAAGTTTTATTAGTGCAGTTGCAGATTATATTTTCAGGATGTCCTTTTCATTTGCTTCTAACTGATTACAGGTTTCACTGCCATCCTTTTCCCTTGGGCTGCCAGCGTATTATATCCTTGCTGTGTCTGAATCATCTTCCAACTTGTCACGCTATGATGGTATCAGGTCAGTGACTCAACCCACCTTTCTTATCTCTCTTCCCCCAGAACACATTTTCATTGATAAACCATGCCTGGCTTTAATTAACCATTTGTATATGTTTAGATATGGAAACCAAGTTTTTGCTGACGAATTAGATTCTCTTTATGGAGGTTCCCGAGCTGAAGGGTTTGGTTCTGAGGTACACACCTCTCATTCCGTCTTAATTTCAAATTTGGCTACAAAGATGTGTGTTAGCTTAGCTTTACATATAATACCAGTTTAAAATAAATGGTCCATATATGCCTTGGTATTGCTATTTAAGCTACCTTTCAATTTTAAATGTCTCAGGTCAAAATGAGAATTTTGATGGGAACATACGCCCTTTCAGCTGGTTACTATGATGCATATTACAAACGTGCACAGCAGGTACTACTATTTTTTTTTTTTTTCCTGTCATAGGTCTGATCTTAGTCTTAATAATTATCAATTCCGTTTCATAGATTGGTACAAATATATTTTGCTTTAAGAAATTTTAAGCTTCTGGAGTCAATCAATTTAATCTTCAACATTCAATATTTATGAGTGTTATGTTACAGGTAAGGACCATAATCAGGAATAGCTTTAAGGAGGCACTCAGTCAAAATGACATCTTGATTTCCCCTGCAGCTCCTTCAGCTGCTTATAAAATTGGTGTGCATCTACCTCTCTTTGCGTATGCATTATTGCACTTCAGTGTCTTCACTGCTAATTGTTTTATTGCCCCTGGCACTTGCAGGTGAAAAGAAAAATGATTCTTTGGCTATGTATGCAGGAGATATTATGACTGTAAGCATTTCATTTTTGAGCAAGATTTCTGTCTCAGTTTTGATTGTGTGTGAGCCAGATAATGTTATTGGTAGTTTGAGGTCTTAGACTTGTGCTATTGAACTTCTTGAACTCCATTTAGCCCAAGCTTGAGTCATACATGAACTACTTAAACTTTAAACCCTTTTAGCACTTCGACAGGTCATAACTGATGGTGATCAGATCTCGCATAAATTGTAGATATTAAGCCTTAGAAAATTTAGATGGGTGCTAACTAATCCAGGTATTATATTTGCTAACCATTGATGAGTTGGTTGCATTGCACGAGTTCATTCTCAACATGTGCCTAGGATGCACTAGTTCAAGTTCAAGAGGCTCAACAAGGGAATTTCCTATTGGAATTAAGTCACCATTGAACATACCTAATTACCCAATGGTTAAGAGTTTGATATTCACTGTGTAATGTCTGAAGTTTCATTCATATAAAGTAACATATCAAGCATTGTGTTTGTCCATTATTGATGATTTGTCTTGTTGCAGGTAAATGTTAATCTGGCTGGATTACCTGCCTTGGTTTTACCATGTGGATTTGTTGAGGGTGGAACTGCAGGCCTTCCTGTTGGTCTGCAAATGATTGGTGCGGCTTTTAATGAGGTATTGACTTTTCCTATCCACTGCAATGGGCTCCTTGTTGCTGGAGCACTTTGTGCAACTGGTAGTTTTGTTTTCTTTACTAGTCTTTATTTCTTAAAAATGTTAAAAACGAAGATGCTTTTTGAACTTTTAAGTTGAAAATGATAAAACAAAAATGAAGGGAAAAAGAAGATAGCAACAAAGAAAGCTTTTGGGCTAATGTAAAATTTTAAAGCAAAATTTGTTCCTGTTATGCCTCAAATTAGATATTTGTGTAAAAAATACAAATCACATCGGTCTCACGTTTTGATATTGGTGTCTATTTTTTTTCTTTCTCGGGATGGTTCAAAGCTTTTGTGAGCATGGGTGTTTAGTTATTTGAAAGAAAATCTCCCTTTTTTATGTGATGCCACACACTTGGAGAAAAGCTGGAGAAAATAAGTACGATGTGTACAAATTAAGCAGATATTGAGCTGAAAGACTCAAAATTTTAAAGATGATACTACAGAGAGGAAATATTACCCATTAAGTTTTCTTAAAAAAATAATGGCTGCAACATGAATGAAGTAAAAATTTATAAATATAATCTATATAATAGGAATTCCCAACTTCATGGCAGATTTCGGGACAAAATTATTCTCTGAAAAGTTATTAGGTGATGTAAGAGTGATTTTGACTTGTACAAATGAACAAGTGATTCGTGTGAAAATATCGTAAATTTTTAGGATAGCTAGTATATCATTCTTTGCTTATAAGAATGAAAGTTAGAGGGCGAGCTTTGGTTCAACAGTTGAGTTGTACCTTGGTCACTGGTTAGACATGGGTTTGAATCCAGAAACAACCACTTCACATATGTAAGGATAAGGCTGCGTACAGTAATCTTTCTCCATGCCTTTTCATAACTAGGGGCCTTTGCCATTGGGCTATCTTAGTTGTATAAGATTGAGAGTTACCATACAGCCAAAGGTAACTAATGTGGTCCTACTGATATTCTGATTAGAGATTTTTGTGAAATAACATATATAATGGAGGAAAATGTGTTATGTGATGCTGTGCAAGGGTATAATATATTTGGCATTGAGCAACAGAATCATCCCTTCGCTTGGAATTCAATTGCAGGGAGAACTGCTGAGAGTGGGACACATCTTTGAGCAAACTCTTGAAAATTGCAGATTCGTTCCACCGATTGTGGCTGATGACATTGCATTCTGAGTATAATTTTATCATTCTACGATTTGGTGTTCCCTCAAAATTCCTTTAGTTTTATGACAATGAGGTGGCTTGAGCAGGTATTTTTCAGCACCGGTAATGCTTCTCCAAATTTCTTTGCCATACTACTGAAGGAGGGTTTTTGACAAAGTTCACTATTTGAAATTGAATATGTTCACAATAAACCTTCATTCAAGTAGTTTTTTGACGAGGGGGTCACCTGCTTTAGTAATTGGATGAATTATTAAATGTTGTGTCAGTTTAGAACTAGCTAGATTGATCAGGGTAAAAGGAGCAAATGGTCTTTTGCTGTCACCAAATAATTTGTCCTTTGTAAATTTATTGTTGAGAATTCCTTTTGAATCAGGTTTATGAAACTTTTGATTAACGATGTTTGTTAACATTTATAATTCTTTTTAAATTTGCTTGCATACAGAGGCTTTACAATGAAATGTGTTTATAGGTACAAAACACTTCAATTAATGTTAAGTCCGAAAGTGAACCTTATTGTTACAGGAATTTGATCTCTATGCCTTATTCTGTAAAGTTTCTACCGTTGACCAATAAAAGATCAAGTACATGAATTTTAAACTATTTAATGTAAATCACCATTTTAAATAATAATAATTATTGATTGATTGTTAGTGTATTTTTTGTTACAATTATTGTTGAATAATTAGAATTTATGTATATGAAAAAAAAAACAAGAACAATGTAAAGTACTGCTGATTTCCTCCGCTGAATCTTGTGTTGATTTGATAATTTATACACAGGCAGTGATAAAGCAAACAGCCTTATACATCAGAGATCAACTGTGATTCTTTTATTTGAGGAATGCACAGATAAACTTCTCTCAAACATTTTTTAAGAGTAAGTTAAAACGAATTTATGTATAAATTAAATTATAATTATAATTTTAATTTATCTATAAATTCTTATAAGTTTTTTAGTTCTTTTTTAAATTTTATGTTGCTTTTGATTTCTATTGTTTATGCATCATATAATCAAAGGTCTATGTAATATATAACACATGATATATCAACGATACCCGTACTATATTATTACATTAAAAATAATAATTATATTAATTTCACATGCTACTAATCTATTATATAACTAATTTAAAGGAATATATATGAATGAGAAAGGATCTATTTATACAAAATAAAAAACTATAAAGTTTTTTATTCATCTTATTATTAAATTATTAAAAAATAAATAATTAGAATAACAAATATAAATTTATATCTCTTATCTTTCTAGCGTGTTTTACTCTCTGATTGAAGGGAAAGTTTATTTTTATGTATGGAGATTTGTGCTGATTTAAGGGAAAAAAATTAAGTAGCACTCACATATTTTATATTTCTTTTCTTATACCAGAAAAAAATGTATAGAAAATCATTTATCATATATTTATTATTCACATTACCCTTACATTAATTATCTCATTTCATAATTTTTTACCCATAATCTATAATATTATTTTTTTTCTTTTTCTACTTAATAATTATATGTCTATATTATATTTTATATATATAAATTTATATTCCATTTTTTTTACTATTACATGATTCTCATTTTTTTTATTGTTGTGTTATTTTTAAGTATTTACATTTATTTTTAATTATATTTAATTTTTTTTATTTCTATTATGAATGTATATTAATTATTTTACATATGTATATATAGCATGTGCTAATCATTTTTTTATTATGATTAATTTACTTATAATAAATGAATTTGTATAACCGATTAAGTAGTATGAATAATCGATTATATTAAAAAAATATTATTATATTTGCTGTATACGAGTCAACGTAGATAATATATGTAGTTCAAGTTATACGTGGTTTTATAGTTTTTTATTATATTAAAATTAAAATTATATTTAAATATAAATTTAATTGTTTAACAATTTAACTAGTTTTATTTTTTATTATGAATTCTTTTATTAAATCTTATTTTTTTAATTAGTGTTTAAAATAAAAAATGTATAATTTATAATTTAAATTTTATTTTTAAAATTTTAAAAACAAATTACTTTAAATTTAATTATTTTTATCTTTAATTTGTATTTATTTTTATTAAATTTTAAGTAAAGATATTTTAGTAATTTATTAAATTATTTTATTAATATTTTTTATTATTATTTCAAATCAATTAAAAACTTTCATCTAATTTCTCTTTTCTTTTTTCTCTTAATCCAAATAAATTTACTTTCTAGTCTATTTCTTTCCTTTTCCACTCTTTAATTCAAACACAAACTTTCTTATATCTCTACACTTTCCACTAATTTTTTTCTCTTAATCTCTTAATCTACTTAACCTTACTTTTACTCTCTTTTTTCTTTCTTTTTCCACTCCCTCAAATTCCCTCCTTAATCCAACCACAAACTTAGAGTAAAAAGTCAATTTAAGGGAATGAAAAATAAAAATAAAATTGTTTAAATGGAAAAAAATAACATAAAAAATAATATATATATATATATATATATATATATATATATATATATAGTAGTTAATAAGATTAATTGGACTAATCAAAATAAATTAAATAATAAGATAAAGTAATAAATAACTAAAAAGCTTTAATATAAATTTAATAAAAAAATATAATTGAAATTAAGATAAAATTTAATATAAAACAATTATTTAATAAAATTGATACAAATAAATCAAAATTTTAAAATTAATTTATATATAAATAAATTTATAATATTTTATAGATATGTTTATATTTTATAATTTTTGTATGATAATTTATAAGTAATATTTAATAGTAAAAACTATTTTAAGAAAATTACAAGTATAATTTTTTTATATGTTTTAATATAATAAATTGAAAATATATTCTACCTTCAACATTAATATTTATCTTTTGTGTTGTATAATTCTCTAACTCATATTTAATAGTAAAAACTATTTTAAGAAAATTACAAGTATAATTTTTTTATATGTTTTAATATAATAAATTGAAAATATATTCTACCTTCAACATTAATATTTATCTTTTGTGTTGTATAACACACACACACACACACTTTAGCTAAATGGAGATATATGTTGGACTTCAGATTTTGGAAGTATCAAATATTTTATAAAAGAAACATTGCCTCATCAGATATTCTATCCTTGCCTTCATTGTTGGCTTTGACATTTGATACATTTTATCCAGGTCCATTATCTACAAATTCAAAAATGCAGTAGTCAGAGTGAAATAGAATGAAACAAACATGAGGAAATTAAAAGGTTACCTTCCCAAAATCATCTTGAAGGTGGAACTACTCTGTGTTCCTATAGAGATCCAATACTTGGCAACTACTTCAAACTAAACATGTCGCAAGAAATATAACCATCCAAGAATTGCTACATTGCTTTTTCTCGGGGTAAATTGTAAGGTAGTCATATTAATATTTTTTTTTTAAATAAAGCAATCAAATTTATTACAAGTCAAAATATACACAAAAACAGGAAAGGAATAGATCTTCATTTTAAATTAAATAAAGCAGACAAAGTCGGCAAAACGTACACAAGTCCCCTTCAACAAAAAATAAATAGAACAAAAACTCATACTTGCATTTTCTTTCTTGTACAGCCTAAGTCATTTTCTTTCCTTTTGACTATGCATAGGATGAGAAGTGAGATTAATTACTCCACACATCTAAGAGGAATCATTCCCTGAATTAGAGTCAACTGGCACTAATCACCTGAGTCAGTAACAACTAATATTACTAACTATACATACGCTTAATTCTAACATCTAATTCTTAATACCTGTATTTGTAAGGATAATGAAATGAACAGAAGTTAAATATAATACTTCTCTTTCATTTAGCCTGAAAAGACAAAAACAGTAAAGCAAATGAAAAATGTTACCCCACCTGCAACTACTTAAATGACATTTTCTTTCTTCATCCTCATAATCACTTCATTTGGGAATTTGCGCCACACTGCTTTTCAAAAGACTTCTACAACAACTTATCAGTTACAGGTCGTAGATCTCTTCCCTTCAAAGCACATCAAGCATATTAGATAACCACTTCATTCTTGTTCAAACTTCATTGTCAGTTAACAAAAACAACAAACAAAGCCCTTCTTACCTTGGGGAACTTCTCCACATGCATCAACTGGTCAACTGTGCAATGCAGCAAGATTCGTCAAGCGGATGCCAGTCAGCAAGATTAAATTAAGTAGATACTGCTCACCAGTAATCACCACATGAACAAATCCCATCTTTGAAGTGATGAAAACGGTTTGAATCCCTCACAATAATGTCCCTCTCAGTAATTTTGGATATGTATTTAGTTGCATTGTGGCAATCACCACAAACACGCAAGTTTTTAAATATCCTAATGGGACTTTTTGGTGGGGTGCTGATAAGTCCAAATGCAATGGCCAGTCTCTCACTATGACTTGTCAAAATCTGCTCTTTCTCATCCTCCTCAACGTCTTGTAGGACATAACTATAGTCTGGAACATAACCAAGGCTTTTCATTTTGGCATTCAACATCCTTAATTCCTTGTATATCTCTGTGCATTGTGAATGAGTTTGGTTTCCTGCATAAAAGACTTCAACTACACTACCTACTACAACAGAGCTCCATCCAGGAGTCTTTCTTAATCCTCTATCTCTGGCTAATGATCTTACTTTAACTGCTCCTTCCCATTTTCCGACATTTGCATAGATATTTGACAACAGAACATAATAACCAACATTCTCTGAATCAACTTCCAACAAGCGATCTGAAGCAAAAGTACCCAATTCTGCATTTCCATGTATTCTACAAGCAGCAAGGAGAGCACCCCAAATGGATGCATCTGCCTGTACAGGCATATTGCTTACTAAATTATATGCCTTTTCCAAATACCCAGCTCTGCCATACAAATCCACCATGCAGCCATAATGTTTCAAATTAGGCTTGATCCCACACTCTTTCTGCATCATATCAAAGCACCATTGACCCTCATCAACTAAACCTGAATGGCTACAAGCCGACAACAATGATACAAAGGTGATATGGTCTGCCTTTACCCCTTCAGCTAACATATCCTTGAAAAGTTGCAGAGCTTCTTCTCCATGGCCATGAATCCCCAGAGAAGATATTATTGCATTCCAAGGAACTGAAGTTTCCCTCGGAATTTCATAGAATAAGGACATTGCATCCTCTAACCTCCCACATTCCCCGTACATGTCAATCAGGCAGGTGGCCACAAACACATCCAAATAGAGACAGTTCTTGATTAGCCTCCCATGAATTTTCATTCCTTGTTGCAAAGCTCCAATATGGGAATATGCTGGGAGAATGCTCACCCATGTCCCTTGGTTGGGGATTATCGTTCTACATTCTCCCATCATGTTGTAAGTATCGATTGCTTCACTTGCAAGACCATTTTGAGCATAACCTGTGATCAAAGTGTTCCATGAAATAACATCTCTTCTAGAAAGCTGTTCGAAAACTGCACGTGCACAGTCTATCGAACCCAATTTGGCATACATATTCACGAGTGCATTACCGATAACAACATCTTCTTCAAGCCACCCACGTCTCATAACAAATCCATGAACAGCCCTGCCAACTTTCTGATCACTTAACTGAACAAATATTGAGGCCAAACTCACAACCGTCAACAAGTCAGGTCGCATTCCAACAAATTGCATCCATTTAAAGAAGCCAAGTGCAGTAACTGGATCATCATTCTGCTCATACGCAGCAACTATAGAATTCCAAGACACAACATCCCTCACCTTCATGCCATCAAAAACCCTCTGTGCATCCTGCAGCCTACCAAACTTCGAATACATATTTATCAAAGCATTGCAAACAAAAACATCGCTTTCCAACCCATGCTTTATCACATACAAATGAACCAACATCCCACAAACAGCATCATTCACTTGCGCACAAGCAGGAAGCACACTTGCCACTGTTACCATATCCATCTTCACCTCCTCAACCTTCATCCTACCCAAAATACCTAGAGCCCCGACTGCATTCCCATTCTGAATAAATGCAGAAATCATCGCGTTCCAAGAACCCACATCTCGAACGGGCATATCATCAAACACCCTGTGGGCAACATCCACAGATCCAAACCTTGAATACATATGGATCAAAGAAGCAGCCACATACACATCATGCTCAAACCCCATCTTCAAAACCCAGCAATGCATCTTCTCCCCATCAACCACGCTCACACACGCCTTGAAAACAGGGGGGAATGTGTAAAAGTCAGGTCTTACACCAGAAATGGAGAAGAACTCACTGACACAGTCCATAGCATCACGGTATCTCCCACACCGAACATATGCAGACACCATCGAGTTCCACGTGAAAATGTTCTTCCTCTGAATGTGTTCAAAAGTATTGCGAGACAATGAGATGTCCCCAAGAGTGGCATACAAAGTAACAAGCTGGGTGAACAAAACGACATTTTGAGCTTTACCCAACACCACAAGAAGTGCATGAAGCTGCTTGACAGCTCCAATGTCTCTGCAGGAATGGAATACAAAGTTGAAATTGACATTGTTGTTCTTGTTCTCATGGTCCTGTGATATCTGTTGGAAAGAACCTGTGGCGGATGAAAAATTTTGGTGAATCCATGGTTGCAATGGGAAAATGGGGGAAATGAGCTTGAAATTGCGAGATGGCAATGATTTGAGAAGAGAAAGCATAGAACATTAGTGTGATTCACAGTGCAAATGCTTAGAATAGAGCCATGAGAACACAAATTTGAAATCAATATAACTTTAATATTTTTCTAATTTTTATAATATGATTTTTATACTTAAAATATTAAACTTGCACGTCGATTTGTAATATTTTTAAAAAAATTGACATAAAAATTTATCTTATTAAATATTAATTTTTCTTTTTAAAATTATGTTTTTATTACTTAAATTTATAAATTTTTAAACTTATTTATTTTGATAAATTAAAAAAAGTTATAGTTATATAAATTATTATATATAAAAAATTAATATATGTATTTTCTATTTTATACATGTCATTTTTAATTACATTGTTATTTGTTAATTTGATAATTATGATGACTTGATAAGTGATGATAGCACCCATTTTATTGAATATTAATTTTAGACTAATCTAATGTTTAAATATGTTTTTAATCTCTTAAAAATAAATAAATTTTGATTTTTGTATACGTTAAAAAAAATTTCTATTTTTCTTTACTCTAAAAGTTAATATTTTTTAATCAAGATGTAACATTAAATAACTACTTAATACTAAACAAAAATTAAATGGTTATTTTAAGCGACTCTCACTAATGTGTAATATAATATCTTTTCTAAATTTGTTAAAATTCCTAATTAAATTTGTCATCAATTTCTTTTATCATCAATAATTTATTATTAGTATATGAATGAGACATGAATTATTTAGAACTTAACAATATGAATCATAAATCATTTTTAATGGTTGAAAAACGATTGATTAAGTTAAAAGTAGTATCATTAAATATAGATATCACTTTTAAAAAGACATGTAAATATCACTTAAACCACTAAATTTTATGATTCCCCTGAAACTGAATTCAAATTTATGAAATTATTACTCAATAACTATTTCTATTGAACTTTTATGAGTTAAATATTTATCGTGGATGAATTGAATATCAGCTGAAAAATTACAACTGGATAAGTTTTACAAATATTTATCAAATAGATCATGAATAATTTTGTTTAATATTCTTTTATCATATCAGAGTAAATTAATGATTTTTTTTTATTTCACTTGAATAAAATTCATTCTATCCATTCATTGTTTGATATATATATATATATATATATATATATATATATATATATATATATATATATATATATATTCTTTAATCACCAACTATAATTTTGTATTAATGTTCTAATATGTCATTAATTTAAAGGAATAATTTATATATTGATTTGAAAGAGAATGTATTATTTATACTTATAGATATAAAATTTAAAAACACAAAATAAAAATAAGATATTACTTTTTATATTTTTTATTAAATACATCACTCAATTAAATATATATATATATATATATATATATATATATATATATATATATATATATATATGATATAAGTTAAATATTTTAAAAAAAGTGAAAATGATGTTGTTTTAAAGGAATCTAAAGTGAATGTTTATTTAATTAAAATTTAATATTTATATAATTATTTTTAGGTTGATAAAATATTTATTAATAAAAAATAATTTTATACATTTTTTTGAGAAAATAAATAGTAAAAAATAATATTTTTTCTTTATTTTTTTCATCAAATAAAAAGTATTATTATTTTTTTATATTGATAATTTTTCATTTTATATTTTCCATCAAATCAGCATAACTTAAAAGAAATAAAAAACAAATAGATCGATTAAGTATAATTGACATTAAGAATCAATAAATAATTAAACAAATTTGACATTAAAACCAAACAAGTCAAATGGTTAAATAAAATTGTTTATCCCAAAGAAAAAAAAATATATATATATATATATATATATATATATTTGATTTTTTCTTCTAGCTTAATTTTGAGAAAGATAAGGTTAAAGTTAAAAGGAAAAAATAAAAAACGCGCCACGCTAATATTATTTATTTAGTCGCGAATGTATCAACAATTCCACATTGAAACTGTCTCCCGGCGCATGTTAGCATTTTCACGTCTGAGAAAAATCAAAGCGCGTGAGCCTCACGCGCCTGAGTGCTCCTCCTACCTTTGTCGTCACTTTCTCTCTTTCTCTCTCCACCTTCACTTCGCCGACGTTTCTGTCTCTTCTTTCAGATCAGCTTCAGTTTTGATCGAATCTGTAAGAAAGTCGAAAAATTCTCGATCTACGTTTCAATCAATTGCGTTTCTGTTTCGATTATCTGATTCAATTATGTTTGATTTTATTTTCTCTTAATTTTTAATTAATAGACATTTTGGGTTTCTGATTTTCCCTTTTGATGGATTTAAATTGGATTTAGGGTATGGTGGGATTATTTTGTGCGTCTAATCAATAGGTAAAATTTCTGAAACAAGGTGAAGAACCTTGTAGATCTTCTGTTTTGCATGTTATGAATTAAATTCAAGGTTAATACGATCAAGTTCAATATTTTCAGTTGTTTCTTACTGAATAGATTTGATAAATTTTACGGTGCTTTTTTTTTTCATAATTGCATGAATTATGATCATTATTTATATATTCTGTCAATTGATAAAAAATCATCTTCGGTATAATTTTTAAGGTATGTATTATACCTACAATTTGTGATTGGAAGTGAATGTACTATAATTTTTATTTTTATTTTTTTGTGTGGTTAATTTTAACTTATGTATTGAGTAGAGAAGATGATATTTTAGTAATAGTTATCGTTTTGGCTCTGTCAGGTTCAGCTTATTGATTAACTGAAAATTAGAAGAGTTATACATATCAGATGAATTTAGTTTTGACGGTTGGTTAGTATTTTTAATGGAATGTTATTGTTGTGTCAATTTTTTTCTGATCAGTGTCATTATGATGAGAAGAGATGAAATTTATGCACCTAAGATGCCAACCCTGGTTGACCTTTGCGTTCAGAAAGTCATTGATAATGTAAGGTACCTTGGAAACGTTGGTGGTGTTGAACAGCATCTGCTTGAGCGAATCTTGCCACACTGCACAGTTGACCAGTTGATGCATGTGGAGAAGTCCACAAAGGTAAGATGGGCTTTGTTTGTTGTTTTGTTGACTGTTAATGAAATCTGAACAAGAATGAAGTGGTTATCTAATATGCTTGATGTGCTTTTGCAGGGAAGAGATCTCAGCCCTGTAACTGATAAGTTGTGGAAAAAGTTTTTTGAAAAGCAGTTTGGCATAAATTCCACTAATGAAGTGATTAAGAGGATGAAAGAAAAGAAAGTGTCATTTAGATGGATGCAGTTATATGAGGTAGCTTTTTTATTTTTTGCTTTGCTGTTTTCTGTTTTCAGGCATGGTTAATTTAAATGAAAGAGAAGTATGATATATAACTTCTGCATTGAGAATGAAAGAAAATGTTGAAAAAAAAGTAATTAATCTCAGTTCTAATTCTACGCACAGGCAAAAGGAAAGGAAATGGCCCAGGTTGAGAATGAAGCACTTGATCGAATCAAGCAACTGTACAAAAAAGAAGATGCAAGTATGATCCTATTCCTTTTTTTTTTCTTATCTGTATTTTTGGTTGGAAAGGGGGGGCTTGTCTGTTTAGGCTGAAGGTACTTTGCTGCTTTTGTATATTTTTTTTTCTTCTAATAAATATGATTTTTTTTATTTAAAACAGATACTAATTTAACTATTAATTACTGATTAGGTATGATTAGCCTTACATTTTGGACAGAGGAGCAATGTAGCAATTCTTGAATAGTTATTTTTCTTGTGACATGTTTAGTTTCAAGTATTTACCCAGTATTGGATCTCTGTAGGAAAACAGAGTAGACAAGTAAGGCCATGCACTAAAGTTCCACCTTCAAGTAAAAGAAGATTTTGGGGAGGTAACCCTTTAATTTTCTCATGTTTGTTTTCTCATGTTTAGATTTTGTGCATTATTTCATGTTTTTTATGATCTGTTCTAGATAACGGACCTGGATACAATGTATCAAATGTGAAGAGCAATATAATGAAGAAGGCGAAGATAGAATTTATGAAGAGGTAATTATTTGATGCTTCCAAGGATGAGTCTAGTCCATACTTCCATCTAGCTAAAATGAACAAGCTTTCTCTGGGAGAGGATGCTAGCCTTTTACATCATTATTGGGAAACTACACTCTTCTTTACTGTGCCATGCACATGATTGCATTCGGTTATTTATAATCCATAACCTTTCTTCATTGTAACTTTGTCCCTTGGTTGAAAACATTTGCTTAGAAATTTTCAACATGATACTTACAAATTTCCTTTTTCTACACGTAAAGATATGGAGTCAACTATGGGAAAATATTAAAAAAAAATATTCATTTTATAATTAATTTTACTAGAATTCTGTTTTGTGATCATGCATCTTGAAGCTTGTATACTAAGCTGGATATTGATTTGAATTATATATTTGTTGTTTTTATTTTATTTTATGCAGTCAAGAGGTAAAGAATATTGCAGCAATGAAGAATAATTGTGTCAAGCGGTGTCAAAGGTACATATAAAACCATTTCTTTCTTTTGTAAAACTATTTATCAAAATATAATTTTGTGTAGTGATCATGCATGAAGAAGCTTGTAAACTCAACTAAATATTGACTTAAATTGTATTTTTCTTTTCAATTTTAAATAGTCAGGGGGTAAAAAATACCGCAGTAATGAAGAAAAATTCTATCCAGCAGAGTCAAAGGTACACATATAACGCTATTTCTTTCTTTCGTTGAAACTATTTCTTGGTATTAACTTTTGTCTTTCCATTTTGGTTTATAAGATTGAACTAAATTTAACTTTTTTGTTTCTTTTATGCTCTCTTTTCATCAATAATTCACATCTTGTTTCTCCATGTCCTCTAGTTCATCAAGCTTCACGAAGATCGGAAGTATTTCTGGAATTTGTTCAACTTCCAAAGGTCCCAATTCTACAAAAAGGGGATTTTAGGGGCAGACTCTGGAAGATACTACCAATTTCATGTATCATTTTGCTTTTAATTGTAACATTTATCACCATGATAAGAAAAAAATGGCTTCTATCTCTCAGCAATTTTACTAATGTTTTCATTTATGTTTGCCGCGTAGGTATATATATATATATATATATATATATATATATATATAAAACAAAGCATGGTAATTATTGTAGTATAGTGATTTCCATGTATAAATAATAAGTTACTCTACAATGAGTTATGATTTTCCTTCCCAAAATGTTTAATGGTTTTAGTTATCGTACCATTGTTTTCATACCTTAACCTTAATTTAACATGGTATCGTTGTTGTCTTAACCTTAATTTAATATGTTATCGTTGTTATCTTAACCTTTATTTGTATTGCGTTGTTTGGTTTTAGTTAATGAGTAGGAATACGCGCATGCATTGATTAATTTTAAACGATATTCATTTAAATTTTATATATTATATTTAGTTACATCTATATATAAGTAAATTTTTAAATATTTAGTTACACTTAAATTTTATATATTATATTTAGTTACATCTATATTTATTTAAATATATATATATATATATTAAAATTATTTTAGTAAAATAATAAATATAATGATTGTGCATATTTTAATTATTTATAATATTTTAATAAATCTACACTAACATATTGCTTATAAAGATAAAATTCATTCAATTTTATCATTTGCCTACATGTTCTTCCTCTATATAACTATGTTATTATTCAATTTTCTTTTATATAAGATTAAACTATATTTAATTTTTCTTTTTCTTTTTTCATGTTCTCTTCTCATCAACAAATATAATCTTATTCCTTCTTTGTAGTTCATGAATAAGAAGCATCTTGGAATTGGTAGAAATTTCCAAAGATCCAAAATCTTAACAAAAAAATAAAATAACACTACCACATATCAATTTGCTTTTGAACAATAAGGAGGTAGAAATAAAAGAAAGTGTGAAAAAAAGTAGAAAATATATTTATTCATTTAAAAAAAAGTGACATGAGAAAAATAAAATTATTTATTTTAAAAATTATTTAATAAATTTAAATTAAGTATCTTTATACTATATAATTAATAATTTTTAAATAAATAATAAATTTAAATTATGTATTTTGTAGCATATACAATTATAAATTAATTTTTATAAATGAAATAAATTTTTACATCAATATTTTCAAATTAATATTTCATTTTTTCTATATATTTTATAAAATATTTTTTATCATAATATTATATTTTTTCTAAAAATATTTGTATTTTAAATTAATAAAATAATATTAAAAAATAAATAACTCTTTATTTGAGATAAAATAATTTTATAAAATAATATTTTTTATAGGTTTTATTCTTTTTTAGTTCATGTGAAAAAAAAATAAAATATGTGAAGTATAATAAAAAATAATATATATATATATATATATATATATATATATATTATTACCAAATAAAAAAAATAATTTCTTTCATTTAAGTACGTTAATTAATAATTATTGTAGTGTAGTGAGTTTATTAACAGTTCCACAAATCAGTTTCAAACATAAGGATGATACAATTCATTCCATTTTCATATCAATGTAAATTTATAGGAAATTTATAGAGCGCTTAGGATCAAGATGATTTTTTTTGCTTTATTAAAGTAGTATTTATTGAAAAAAATATACATACATTTTTTTAGTTGACAAATCTTGATTTTATGCATAATTTTTAATAGAAAATATTAATTTGTTATTCCTATGGTTCTAAGTAAAATTTTAATTTTATACAAAATTATATAATTTTATATTATATAATTTCATAAAAAGTAACTGTTTATTTTATTTTTTAGTCCCAATTTTATTATGTTTTAACGTTTGAAAAGTGATTTATAAATATAAAACTAATAAATGATAGTAATTTAAAGCAGATAAATAATTAAAATATTTTTATTGCTATATATTAATCAAATTATATTATAAATATAATTTTAGAATTAATTAAGATGAAATTTATATAAAGGTTTTTATTTTGAAAAGAAATTAAGGATATATAGTTTAAAAACTAATTAAAATTTGACATGTTTATTATTTATTTGGAGTGTTTATTTATAAAAAAAAAACAAAATTTAAGAAAGTTATTAAAAACTAAATAAATATTATTATTTGTAAAACTTTTTCAACAATCAGAGTGGCGCAGCGGAAGCGTGGTGGGCCCATAACCCACAGGTCCCAGGATCGAAACCTGGCTCTGATAAAAAAGAGTGGCTTCCTATTTTTTATTTTTTTCACATGTGTTTTTTCAGTTTTTTCTATTTAATTTTAATGGTACAAAAGGCAACTATTATACAAAATAAAATATTACATAAATCAAAGCCTTTACTAGAAGACAATTATTACATGGATCAAGGACCCATCCTGTGACCAGAAAAGAAAAAATATTACATAAATTAAAGGTTAAATTGATATAATCAATGTTTATAAACCAGACAAGTAATTAAGCTGACAAAAGTTACTGTTCAATTGATAAAATTTACTTCGCCATTGAGTGCATCATTTTATTAGTTATTAGTATACATAATTTACATTATTATTTAATTATAAATAATGATTATCATTATCAAATTTAATAATAAACTTATACAAAATAAACCTATGCTTTTTTATTTAAACAAATGAAGTAGTCGTTATGATTTGATTACTTTTCTCCTGTTACCTCTTCTAGTAAGGTCCAATGTTACTTTCTGGCTTTAAGTTTGGTTGTTATGTATACCAAATTCCACTTATTATGAATCTTATTTCTCTGAAATCTGTTATGATTAATGGTTGATTTCACTCTTATTGAAGTAAGCTACAAAAAGCCAAAGATGCAATGAAGACAAAGTCAAGTATTAGAAAAGGATTTAACCGAGTCTGCATAATTCACGGTAGGGTACGTTTCTGATAAAGATTAATTATTAAAAAACTGATAGATATTTTATAACATATATAAATAAATTAAGATATTGTCATGCCTTGAATTTCCAATTATTATTATATATGATTTCCATTTCTGTGAAAACATTCATGTTGCCATCATCTCTGTTATTAGTCATCTTAAGTTATTTTAGGAAGATACAAGTATTGCATACAAATCTACCCACCATTGCCAATGCCAGTATTCAAGATCAGACCAATACTGCGATCATCATCCCCTTAATTGAGAATTATAATTTTCCAATTTCCAATTCAAAGCTATAAAGTATAGTTCATGGTGGCTGTGATTGCTTTACAAACGTTTGCATAACAATCTTACAACCTTGGAACGTAGAGGCATTAGCATGACCATGAAAACGTGCACCTGTGTTAACAATATTAACACTTGGCTCATCAGAAGCACCTTGGAAGAGGATTTACTCTCTTCCCTCGAACTCACTCTCAGCAAAGCCTCTCATATCTTTTGCTGCCTCTTCTTCTACCACGCGTTGAATCAGTGACCCTCTTTCACATTCGGCTGTCACCAAACTGTCTCTCAAAACTGGACCCTCACATTTGAAAGGGCCTCTAATGTTTGCCCTAAGTCCTCTCTCTTTGTCACACTCAATGATCACATGGTATCTGATATGGGTTCTAAGAAAAACTGTATACGAGTGGAAAAACTCCCAAGAAACCTTCTCCACCGAACCAATATTTCCAACTTTGCGCGTCACTTCATAAAAACAACTTTTCCTTCCACACAGGTCGCTCCAAGATTCAGTGCCCATACCTGCTTCCAAGGTGAAAATTTCAATTGAAATTAAATTATATTTTAAAAATTGATATTAAAAAATTAAACACATCAAATTATCACATTTTAATTCCTAATTAACTTAATTAAAAAATTACAATTTTAATCAAATTATTACAATTTTATTTTATAATACTTTATTTTTAATCTAATTTTTAAATTTATTATTTTATTATTATTAATTACTTAATCATGGTTGTTGTCGTATAATTGATATACCAAAAAAAATTTATATCAATATACATTAGATAATAAATATATTATTTAATTAAATTATTAATAAAAATATATTTATTTTAGTTAAAATATTTTTTAGCTTAATTATACTAATTAATATTTTTCATTTTTAACATAATTAATAACAAAGATTAAAAATAGACGGTTAGAAAAGTTAAAAATTTAAAATTAATCTATTTTATAAATACTACAAATAAACCATATTTAAATAAATTAAAAATATATTTAAATTTATATTCAACATACCTCCAATTTTGCTCAATAAATTTATAGATCACATTCGGAAACTTCATCACTTAAATAACTTCAAAATTATTAACTTTTTTTTTCAAAGCCAAGTTTTTCTTGTCAGTTTTTTCAAAAAAATAGTTAATATAAATTAAGGTTGTACCTTTTTAAAATTTCAACTTTTTTATATATTGGATTTTTATTAAAAAATTTCTAAAATTGCATAAGAAAATAGAGATTTAATTATATTTTTAATAAATTTAAGATAATACTAGTTTTTATTTTTATTTTTAAATATTTATTTTAATTTTTTTAAATAGAAAAACTATAATTTTAGTTTTTAAATACTAAATTTAAAGAATTAAATCTATTATTATTTAATATTTTAATTTTAGTATTAAAAATTTAAATTATATTTTATTAAATTAAAATAATTACAATATATTTTTCTACTTTGAGAATTAAAAATATAATTAAACTAAAACTGAAAATATTAAATACATTTTTGAACTCTTTTTTATAATATTTTTATCATTATTATATTTTTGGATTAATTGTTTTTTTTCCTAATTTTTTATAAAGTCAATTTTAATATTTAAAAGTATTTAAAATTTTGAATTCTGAAACTTTTTCTCTATTAGCAAATTTAAAAACATAATATACTAAAAAAATATTATACATAATTATTTCATCCAAATTTTTAATAATATGATAAGTCATCAAATTTGTATATAAAACAAATTTAATGATGGATTAAAATAGAAAAACATTTATAAGAGACTATTTATTTTTATTTATGATGGATCAAAAGTGAAAATACATTTAAATTTATAATTTTATTTATGAAACACATTTAAATTTATAATTAACGAAAATAATGAAAATCTTAATATAATATGATACTTTTAGTAATGTATTTTTTTTATAAATTTAAACTTACTTTTTTTAGTTTAATTTTTAAATTTTATGTATTATTATTGTTAATTGATATACTAGAATAAATTTATATAAAAATAGTCTTTATCTTCAAAATTCACTTCTTCAAATACTATCTTTATATTTTTCTATTATTTCTTTATAGTTAAGAATGTCAACATTTATGCACACACTTAAATATAATATAAAGTAAAGAGTATTTGTTTATTCTATTTTATTTCCAATCTATAATTTGAGTTTTTTCTAAATATATTTTATATTTTTAAAATTAATAATTTTAATGTAGTTATCTAAGTTTTTTATGTGATGATTTTAATTAATTGATATTATCGAACCATTTAATTTGATTTATTATAGTAAAAATCATAAAAATAAATGTAAAATAATATTAATTATTTTAAATTATAAGAAAATAAATAATAAAAATAGAAAATAAAGTATTCTATAAAAGAAGACTAATTATTATAAAGATAAAATAGAATATGGGAGGAAATGAGGATGACAATATAGTAAAAATAATAGAGTTTAAAAACAATGTAAAATGTGAGAAATTTAAAAAGAAAAAAAAGTTAAAAATGGATATATATATATATATATATATATATATATATATATATATATAAAAGTAATTGGATTAAATTTATTATCCCATCATATATTATTATACATGATTAGCGTAATTTTAGTTTAATTAAAAATTATAATACAAATATACTATACTATACTAATATACTAATATACCATTATATTATAATATTTATAATTTATTTTCATTGTATATAAATTTATATTTTAAATTTTTTTCTTAAATATATAAAAATATAAATGTATAATGATATAAATGTATAAATATATAAATAAATATATAAAGATATAAAGATATAAATATATAAAGATATAAATACATAAAGATATAAATATATAAAAATATAAATTTATAAATATATAAATATGTAAAGATATAAATATATATCTTTAATATTTTGTACATGTAAAAAAAAATTTTATATATTTTAAAACCTTTTTCTAATATTTGTTTTTAAAAATAAAATATTATTTTAAAATTTAATATTTAAATTTTTAATTTTTTCTTAAATATATAAAGATATAAATGTATAAAGATATAAATATATCAATATATTAATATATTAATATATAAATATATCAATATATCAATATATAAATATATCAATATATCAATATATAAATATATCAATATATAAATATATCATTATATTAATATATAAATATATAAATATATAAATATATAAATATATAAATATATAAATATATAAATATATAAATATATAAATATAAATATATAAATATAAATATATAAATATATAAATATAAAAATATAAAAATATAACTATATAAATATATAACAATATAAATATATAAATATAAAAATATAAAAATATATAAATATAAAAATATAAAAATATATAAATATATAAATATATAAATATATAAATATATAAATGTATAAATATATAAATGTATAAATATATAAATGTATAAATGTATAAATATATAAATATTTAAATATTTAAATATATTTGTATTTATAGATTTTATATTTATATATATTTATACATATATACATTTATTTGTATATAAATATAATTTATTTGTAAGTTATTATTGAAAAATCCTAGTAGTTTAGTGGTTGAAGTTTCAGCTTCTAACTCTACAGGTATTGAGTTCGCATCCTTACAATGACAATAATCTTTTAATAAATCAAATTTCTAGAAAATCTAGATAAATAGAGAGGGGTTAGATAATTTGTAAATAATTAACTTTGTCATTGATTTAGCGACCGATATAAATCGGTCGCTATTTTTTTGACTTTGCCACCGATTTAGCGACCAATTTAATATATTAATTTCGGTCACTAACACATTAACGACTTGACTTTTTGCGACGACGCCTTTCGGTCGCTAACTGATTAGTGACCGATTTTTCGACATTAGCGACTGATTTTTTCGGTCGCTAAAATGATTTTTTCTAGTAGTGTGATTAGACTTATGATTTATGACTTAATCATTTTTGTTTACTTTAAATATATATTTTTTTAAATACAAACCTTGAGTTCAAAACATCTGCATGTTATGTGAGTTACATGTTTTGCATTTTGGATTCAGTAATAATTTGAGTAAATAAATAAACATCTATATTCCTTTTTTTTCTCCTTACTAATTTTTACTATACTCTATACATTTAAATATTTTTAATATATATATATATATATATATATATATATATATATATATATATTATAACAGAAAACTAAAACACTTATGTAATATTGATTCTTCGTCTAGAATAGAAATACGAACACCATTGTAAAAATTATGTAATCTTGATTCTTCATCTCGAATAAAAATACTAAGGAGTAAGTCTTTGTCGAGCCAAAATAAATTTAGAAATATTTTTTTATTTTGTTTCTTTATTTTATGTTAAGGGAAAAAAATAAATATTTTTTGGAATAACATTAATTTGCACGGTATCTGATATGGGTTCTAAGAAAAACTGTATACGAGTGGAAAAACTCCCAAGAAACCTTCTTCACGGAACCAATATTTCCAACTTTGCGCGTCACTTCATAAAAACAACTTTTCCTTCCACACAGGTTGCTCCAAGATTCAGGGCCCACACGTGCTTTCAATAATATGAAGCAAAAATATAATTTTCTCAAATTTCTGAATAATAACAATAATAGAAAATGATAAAAATAATAAAAAAAGCATTAATATTTTAAACGTGAAAAAATTATTTAATATAAAAAATAAAAAATTATGAATACAAGTCACTCAATCAAACTTCACAAAAATTAAATATGGGTATAAGATATTAAAATTAAATACACAAATAAATTCTTATAAACAATCAATATATTAAATAATACCGCTCTAAAATTTAAATAATATAAAAAAAAACTGAAATACAACAATGATACTTGATTTCTCCAACTCCATAAGAGGAATCATGTGCTGTCAAAATTTCAGCTTAATCCAACTTAAAAATGAATAGTAACTTTATATGTGGATCCTAAATATATCTACCAGTTTTTTTTTTTTTTTTTTTTTCTAAAAGTTACAAAATTTTATCTCTGTGTTCTAACACAGAAGATCCCTCTCCTTATAGTTTGCCTAATTTAAATTTTTTAAATACGTTCAACCAACAAAAAGAGTGACTACATATATGGAATATCATCACGAACAAGCAGTAACTCTAGCAATTTTACGATATATGGAATAACATACGATCCCATCTTAATATATCACAGAAAGAAAAAGGAGAAGTATTGAATAGGGCTCTTCCATCAATTTCTCTAAAACCCAAGTTTTAGGTTTGCTGATAAAAGAAAGTACATGTACTGATAGGTTTTATATGAAAAGAAAAACCTAATGGCATTTTGAAAAACAAAACCCTTAAAATTTGGTTGATGTTTGACTCACCCATGGGCTGAGTCTGTTGAGAAGTGCCATCGACGACCACTCTCACCTGCTGAAAGTCGAAACAGTTGACGGTGTCCCTTTGAGCAGTGACCTCCATGTGAAGTAAGCGAACTGGATGATGGTCGCACATAGACTCTGCGACTCTCAACACCACCCTTTCTCCATTCACTCTCAGCCGCAAAATGCTACGCTTGGAGTTGTCAGTGATGTGTACGAGAGCGTACTCTTCCGGAAATTCAGCACTTGACCATTTGTGAAGCACCATACTCACTTCGTTACCCATGATATCTTAGGTTATGTTTGTTCTATAATGTTTATGTTTATGTTTATGATGGAGGTTTTCATAAAAGAACAACGAAGGAAATACTTGGCTCTTATTATTCCATGAATTCATTTACACAGCGTTGTATAAGAAGGAAGACCAATTCTATTTGAATTCCTAATTAATAATTATCACTTAAATTATTACACTTTGATTAGGTAATGGTCATAATGGAGTGAACATTTTGTGAAGATTTCTTCCTATTGCTATCACATGCATGTAATTAATATCACACGCTATCTTACTACCTATACATACCATGGTTGTTCGAGTATATATATAATCATCATAATGAAGAGAAGACAAATTGACGAAGAATTTCCTCGTTCTACTTCAACTAACTCCCAAGGAGATATTTTTATGCATAATAATAAATGCATGCAAATTGTTTCACACTTGTTGCTCTAACAATAGAAGCACTCGTGTTCTTCACATGTTTGTACATCTGAACTTGTCTAAACTAAAAAGAAAAATGGAATAATTTTTTTAAAATAAAAATTATATCTATAAGAATTAGCCAACATAGTTTATTAAGGGAAAGTTGTGGAGAATATTTCTTTTTTAATTGAAACAAAATTTGTGTTCGAATGCAGTGTATTGTAGATGATAACGACCATAGGTGACTACTTCTAATTGAATATACCTTCAAAAGATTTTTCTAACTTTTTTAAAAATCAAGCAACACAATTTTTTGTTTTACTTACAATTTTTGTTTTAAAAGTCAGACCCTAAACAACATCTGAATGTATCAAATAGTACACGTAGGATCGTCCATATACAGTGCATCCAGATTATCACAATTCTATTCGTTCAACTTGGACACTTGATAGAGTAATATTTCATTATTCATTCCACAAAAGACCACAATTATTTTTTTAATTAACACAACATTCCACGTCTTGATTCATGGTTCTGGTGATGAGTTAAAATACGAATTCATAACAATATGACAATTTTCATATTTAGAACCATTACCATCACCGTTAAAAGTTGCACCTGTGTTCACAATATTATTCACCGCTGTAGCACGTTGCTCGGAACCTCCTTCATAGAGAATGTACTCTCTGCCTTTGATAATACATTCGATCAACTTTCTCACAGCTTCTTCAGTGGGCTTTGTGTTCACCTCGCGCAGAATCAATGAAGCCTCAGATTTTAGTTCTTTCACCAAACTCGTGCATTTAAAAGGGCCTCTAAACTCTGCCCTAATCCTCTCGTTTTGTCACACTCGATGATCAAATTGTATGTGTCAGGTAAAATTAATAATTGGTTGAAGAATGTTTTTTGTTTTTTTAATATTTATAAAGTGATTTTATTGATGTGGAAAAGACTATGGGTAGCAGTGGTATATGAAATTTGGTCTCAAAGGAATAAATGTATTTTTAAAAATGGTAAATTTGATGCGGAAGTAGGATTTAGTAAAGCGAGTGCAAACTTCACTGCTTGGTGCGCTAGAGGCTGGGATGGAGCGAGCCTAGCAAGTTCCGATTGGTTTTATGAACCGGTAAGATGTATGAGACTAATTGTCATTTAGTTTCTCTTTTTTCTGTGCTGGCTGGTATATGTCTTTTCAGGCTAAAGTGTGTAATCATGTCACAATGATGATGACTCATATAAGAAGACAGTGAGAGGGATTATCCGAGTGCTACAAGGTTTTTTTCTCTTGTTGTAAACTTTCTTAGTGTCATCATTTTACCCGAAGCTAGTTCTCTTAGGCACCGCTGGGGTAACTGAACCTGTATCTTTGAGCTTTCGTTCTAGTGACCCAGCAGGGTTTGGTTTATTTCGTTCATCTAGCTTCTTTTAGTTGTATTTGGGTTGAAGTACCCCTTTGTACTTCTATTAATTTTATTCTTTGTTGCCGATCAAAAAAAAAAAAAAAAAGTGATTTTATTGAGAATCATTATGGTATAGAATGTTTTGGATTCTAGAGAGTTAATATTTCAGTTTCTATAGAGTTAATATTATGAGTTATTGGGAGTGTTTAAATAAAGAGTTGTAATCCTGTTTTTAGTATGACAAAGAATAATAAAAGTGAAGTTTCTAAGAAATTTTTTGTTATCAAATTGGTATCAGAGTTAGGGTTTTTTAGAGTTTTTTTAGAAGAATAGGGTTCTTCAGAAGAGCCAGAGCTAGGGTTTGAGTGTCAAAAAAGAGTGAGATGGATGGTCTGACAAATGCTACTACAATTGTGTCCCGACTAACAAAGGACGTCAGCTATGATAGATGGAGTGTCTAGATGAAGACTCTCCTCAAAGCCCAAGGTGTTTGGAAGATAGTGGAGGAAGGTTTTGAACAACTAGAGACCACGAAAGAATTGACGATCAATAAACTCAAGGAGTTAGTGAATAAACGTGAGAAAATAGTATAACTCTATTTTTGTTGTCTTGAGCGTTGAGCGGTAGAAGATTCTAACATTGAAAATATTGTAGGAGTCACATTGGCAATTGATGTGTGGGACTGTGTTGAAGAAAGAGCATGAGAAAGATGACCAAGTCACACAGATTCAGCATCACACACTATGAAGCGAGATGGAGAGCATGAAAATGAAGGGGTTAGAAATTTTTTTTGAATATGTCTTATGTGTTGAAAACGTGACAAAATAGCTTAATCACAAAGAAGAGGTATTATCCACAAAATAGATCGTTGAATAGATCTTGAGGTCATTAACAAAATCTTTTAACAACGTGGTGTGTGCAATAGAACAAGCGAAGGACTTGGCCGAACTTTCAATAAAAGAATTGATTGGATCTCTTGAAACCTATGAACACTGAATGAAGAAAGATAAGGAGGACGAGGACACGAGTGTAAAATTGCTCCAGACCGAGGAGAAGACGCTCTATTATCAGAATAATAGAGGAAGAGAACGTGGTGGTCGGGCCCGAGGTGACTGATCTAGACAGTCTAGATTCGGTGGCCGAGGTGACAAAAATGAAGAAGGAGATCAATAAAATTGGTGAGGTAGAGGATGTGTGTAACATCCAGTATTTCCCAAAAATATTTCATTAATATAATAAAATATTTTGTCATTAACTTTAATAAAATGATATTATGAGTTATTTTAAGACTTGATAATTTTTAAAGATATTAATAAATAATATATATATATATATATATATATATATATATATATATATTATGAAATTTTTAATAGAGTGAAATAGATAAATTTAGAATTGAGTTTAAAATGAAGTAATAATAATAAAAAGATAAGCAAAATTAGTAATATAATTTCTCATTGATGAAAGGATTTAATTGGTAAGTGAAAAAGTAAGTGAGAATAATTTTGGAAAGAAAGTTAAATTTAAAGAAGAGAAATACCAATTTTCTTTCTTACTTACGGAAGCCATTTTGGGAGCACGGGAGGAAGAAGAGAAACTTGATTTTGCTTGCCCACACCATCTTGATTCATCATTTTTGCAATTAAGAGTAAGATCCATGAAATTAAAGCATTGAATTTCAATATTATCTCCTAAAATCTTCTTAATCTCAAATATATGGTCATTTTGATGCTTATAGGAGACAAACTTTTCTTGAACTAAGGATCTCTATTTTCTTGTTTGAAAGCTTCATTTGAGGTAAGGAGAGTCTTCTTGTCATCAACCTTAGGCTAAACCATCATTTATCTCACTTCTACATTAATTGGAACTAAATTAAAATGTTTTATAAAAATTTCGTATGGCTATTCTAGTATATTTAGATACTCTACAATGCTCCTTTCATATTTTAGAGTTTAGAAATGGATTCCTTGGATGTTAAAACCTAGAGTTAGCCATAAAAATCACTTAAATTGGATTTTTCTAGAGGAAGATGATGAAATATGTGTTGAGAGATGTTATTCGACAAAAATCTGCATGTGAATAGAATCTTTGGGAAATTATGTAAAAATATTTACTTGGTATTTAATTTTGAAATTTTGATTACATGTTCCTTTATATGTCTAGTTAGTATGTGATTTATTTCAAAATTTTCTGACCATTTAATATTCGATGAAAAATCTTGGAAGTAAATAGGTTTTGAGTTGGGTGAAACAGAATTGTTATGTCCGCTCAACAACTTTGAAAAATCATATAAAATTGAAATTAAAGTTTTTTTTTAGATGAAATTTTTATCATAGTTGTGATTGTAGGTATATGTTAAACATATTTATTTTCATAATTTTATAACCATTAATTTATTTTATAAAAATATATCTTTGAGTAATGCCCTGATAGTGGAATCTTCAAAACGTATGAAAAGGGAGGAAAGTTTTGAATGACTTAGAAATCTTTAAATTGTGAGTTATAATTTTTATTATAATCCTAGAATATATGTATTTTGGACTGGAAAGTTTCATAGAATTTGGAGTTAGTTTAGATAGCAAAGAATTTTTCCAAAGTTACACTTTTCTAATGCTTATGATAAACTTTTCTTCCTAGAGAAGTATAAACAAAACTTTAGTTCTGTATCTATTATTTATTTTATGAGTATGTATGATGTGAGAATGATAGTGTAATGAGATATTTTGGGACACAAGATTAGAATAGTAAGAGTTTAGAAAATTTGATAGATCGCAATGTGTGCTGAGTCCGAGAGTGTCCGACTCTCGAAAAATTTTTATTGTTCTTGTTTGATGCAAGAAAATGTGTTTATAAATTTGATTTGAATGTATTTGTAAATTGGGAAACGTCCAAATTACAAAGGAGACTCTGTCAAATTTTTGAAATTGATGAAAAATCAATAAAGCTTAATAAGAATGGTATAAAGAAACGTTATGAATAGGTAATGCATTCATAATCATGGTAGTTAGTGGAAATCATGTCTATAAGATGTTTGTGCTATGTGCTGAGTCTAAGTCAGAGATGTTGGTCATATAAAAATAGGGTATTATGTCTATAGTGATATGGTCTGTATGATGTAGAGTTTGTTCTTACCAAATATATTGTTGTTAAAGAGTTGGTGGT